GGAATTTTTAGTTCATAGATTAGATTATGGAATTATAGTTCATTTATTATGGAATTATAGTTCATCGATTATGGAATTATAGTTCATCGATTATGGAATTTTAGTTCATATGTTGTTGTTGGGAATCGAATCTGATTTTTTTTTAAGGAAAAACACACGTTTTATTAAAACGACGTCGTTTTTGCATCTGGTGCATACGGATGCACAACATAATTTGCCTTGTTTATCGTGCATCTTCAAAAGTCCTTTGGGAGAAGGACTTTTGAAGAGGCACGATAAACAATGTGGAATCTATGGTGACAGCCCATGTAGGACTTTTTGAAGAGTTAGCTTTTTTTTTTTTTTTTTTTTTTTTTTTTTTTTTTTTTGGAAAAGACTTAGCTTTTCAATTGAACAACAACTAGCATCTTCTCTCCCCTATTTATGTCATCAGACAGACGGAATGGGAATATGGGATGGGGTTAATTAATCAAAATATATTTGCAGTAGTTTTTGAAGATAAAAGGCCATTTGATGTATCAAACTATCAATAAACCTCATATCATGCATGCAATGCTCCATTTATTTCTAGGAATTAAATCTAACTAACATTACATTTTCTTTGTCCTCGAATCAAATTAAACTCTTTTATCAACCACATATATTTATAACAAAAGTTTTACAAAATCATAATAATTATGTACCCTTTGCATTATATATTAGATTATTATATTTCTTTGCCAAAAAAGTAATAAATTGATCTTAAAAACCAATATTCTCATATATTTAAGCATGTTATTGTTTCTAATTAACATAAGCATAATAGTGTTAGGTGGTGATTAGATAACCGCAGAGATGGCAATAATGGATTGAGATTCAAGTGGGTTGGGGTTGATTATATTTGCCACCCGACCTATCATATTGAATTATTAATTTATAAATGACAGATAGTTCATAATTATTTTCGAAACGAATCATAGGCATCATGATTTTAAAACCCAGGATCAAAATTATTTGATTCAGACCTCGCCCAATCAAAGTAGCAATCGTTTTCCCTTTTTTTTTAATCATCGAACAACACTCCGGTAACACATTGCTTAGTAGCGGATAATACGGGTAGGAAGCTAGGTAACACATCTACGAAAGTTCCTAGCCAACAATATTCAGAAGATGGTTCAAACTGTGAATTTTTAGCATAAAATAGCATAGAAAGTAATTATCTTTTTTGTACAAATATATGTGGGATCCACTTTCTCTTTTAGTCGGGTCAAAGTAAATTCGGATTCTTCATAAGAAACGAAGAGATTGATATATTGTACGCTCAAAACGGATAATAGGTAAATGAGAAATTGATTCTCAAAGTAGGGTCATTTGAGTTGGAAAATGAAGCCGGAAAGACGGTGTAAAAGCACGTGTCCCATATGGGCTTGGGAATGAGTTTGCACCACTATATATACAAGAGCCTTTTAATGCATGTTGAATTGCATAGCATAGAGACCCTCTCTTGTGTGCAGAAGGGTGCAGATCAAATCACGATCATATATACTGCTCAAAGAGTAATATATGTAACTTTCATGCAACTCTTCGTGGGTACTTACTCAAAGTACTCTTTTTTGTATTATTTTTCTAACTCAGATCGATCCATTGTCCGAGTAGTAATTCTTGTTTAACATTCAGATGTGTCTGAATAGTGGTAGGTGCTAATATTCAGTCAACCGAGTAGTAATATTGACTATTCAAAGATCCATTGTCCGACTAGTAATTCTTGTTTAACATATGTGTCTTAATAGTGGTAGGTGTTAATATTCAGTCAACCGAGTAGTAATATTGACTATTCAAATGTAACCTTCAAGCAACTATTCATGGGTACTGCTTGAAGTAGAGTCAATTCAATTTTTGGTCCAACTGTTATAGGGGCGTTTCCAATTTTAGTCCACCATAATTCTTTTTGTCACTTTACAACCACTGTTATTAAATGTGTTCCACTTTTAGTCCACCGTTAATATTTTCGTCAAGAGGTCGTATAATTCAAGACTATTTTGGTCTTTTTATGTTTGTCTCTTCTCTTTTAATCCATGCGCTTCGTCCCCCTCCTCCGATATTCGAAGATGGCTCTTCGAACAACGAGAATGGGAAGCCAAAGCTACATCTTTTCGTTCGTTCCAACATGGACCGGCGAGCTTTCTTAGGTTTTAGGTTTAATGTTCTAATTGCTTTAGTCAAACATAGTCTTGGATGAGAAGAAAGGTCAAAATACCCCTAGATTACACGACCTCTTTATGAAAATACTAACGGTGGGACTAAAAGTGGAACACATTCAATAATAGTGGTTACAAAGTGGCAAAAAAAATTAAGCTAGACTAAAATTGGAAACGCCCCTATAACAGTAGGACCAAAAATGGAATTCACTCGCTTAAAGTACATACTCTTCGGAGTAATGTTTTGGACAGTGTTAATTCTTATTTATAAGAATTAATTTCGAATTAATTCCAATTTAATTTATATGATTAATGTCATTATTAATGCTATTAATTTCCTCATCTCCTATAAAAATTTGTTGTTAGGCAGATTGTTTAAATAGCTGCTTTTGAAAACATCAAAATTCTTATTTCGTTCTCTCCATCTCTCTCAATCCCTTTCTTTGAAAAATTCTGCCAACTAACAATTCCGTAAATTGTACGGAGTGCTTGCCTGGTATTATTATATTGTTCGTCAAACATTTAGTTTGAGTGTTCAAACTTTAAGTTGTAATCTGTTTTATCCTTAAAAACTGACGCTACAACGTTCCTAGCACTCTCAAGAAGTAGCGAATTATTTTTATGGAGAGTGTGAGTACACACGACTCAATTAAAATTGATTAGTTATCTAGACCTTTAATTGAGCAAATTTTAATGACTTAGATAAGTTCTTAAGTTCCTATCTAACAAAGGGTTCTCACTTGAAGAAGGCCCCTATATATATATGTGTGTGTGTGGGTGGGGAGGGCGTTTTCTGTATGTATGTATGCATGCAATTTCCTGAATTTTAAAATTCTATAAAAATAGCATTTACTATTCAGATTACGCTGGTATAGTTTAGATCAAGTTTTCTTACTAGATAGATGGATTCTTACCATGTTTGAATAAATTGCAAAATTTGTAGCTTCAAGCAACTTAAAGTCGTGCAAGGTTAATGTAAACAAAAATTCATATCTGGTGCAATATAATTATTACAATACTTTTCCTTTACTTCAACAGAAATATTTCAAATTTTGTACAATAACACTTTATTTAAAAATAAAAAAATATTTAAAAGATGTTGAACAAGATCACATAAATTTCTACATTTGTTACATTATTTCAAATTTGAGATTGGAGCTGTGGGATATATTGCCTAATTAATGCAAACCCTCTAATACTAAATAATATTTCAAATTATTTAGTCATGGTTTCACATTCTTTCAATAAATCATCCTCGGCATATCCAAACATTTGACCCATAAATAATTCTGAACTGAAATTACTTACTTCATCATCCACACATTGATAGTAGCAATCTAATTCTAATTTTGTCATTTCCAAACAACACTCAGGGATCATTGCTTTTCCGGGTGTTACTAAATGATAATAGAAAAGTGTCATGTATGTAATCATTCTGTAACGATAATCTTTAGAAGATTTATGGACATTTGAACAATCAAGTATTACATATATATGAAAACTATATTGTGCCGTATGTTATGAACAATCCTAGAAAAAAATAAGTAACTTTGAATTCATTTTTTTTCTTAGATTTTTGTTCCTTTTCACTATTTGTTTTAATTAATATCGATGGGTAAAACATTATCTTTTTTTTTTTTGAAAGCTACTGGTTCTATTACATTGTAGTATCTGTTCATAAAACATTATCTTATTAAATAAACATTTTGGAAACATGTACCTTTCTAATAATTTTTTTTTTATCAATGATAATATGTTATAAAAGCATTAAATGACCTAAATACATATATACGTTAGATATGCATAATTAAATTCTTATTATGTGTGCTTTATTTTGTGTTTGTTAAATAAATATTTTTAAAATTAAATTAATTATTTTACATATGTTAAATAAATATGCCTAAAACCCTCTCACAATATGAGATTTTTTTTATACATACTAAACAACACAATATTTAACATTCAATACCAAACATATTAAATAAAAAATCATCAACACATGCATAATAATATTTTAATCACATTTATATGGATTGTCACTCTTATCTATGACTTGCACAATTCTTCTATCATTATACCAATCACCAAATAGTTTTTCCATAGTCTGTTCAAAAAAAAAAAAAAAAATCATTAACTCGGTTGTGTACTTCTCTCTTTTCATGTCAAAACTCATGAACATCAATTATTTCGTTGTATAATTTATATCTTGTTTAACGATAGTGCAATTTAAATTAAAGGTATTTTATTTACTAATACCTATTCTATTTATGTAATTCATCGGTAATTATAATCATATATATTAATGCTTTTTGTTTACCTCGTTGGTTCCACCAGTTGTTTGATACCATTCAGATTTTGTTACATGTCCATGACCAAAGCAAGACATAAACAAGAACCCTCTTGATGAATAGTTATGAAGTTTGGATACTACATCAAGAAACTCCAATCTTAAATCTTAAATAGTTTGAGTGAAAAAAGCTTGTACGACATCTTTTATATATATAACAAGGTGACATGTTCGTAGAGTTTAATTTCTAACACTGACCTTGCATTATTTTTACATACATACATATATATATATATATATATATATATATATATATATATATATATATATATATATATATATATATATATATATATATATATATATATATATATCCTACAAAATAAATGGGAGAATTTACTTACATTATATATGTGTGTAGAATTACCAGTAAAGGATGATCCGTCACAATACTGAATAATGACTTTATTCCAGTTAAAAAAATCTAAAAACATGTTAGTTATAAAAATGAAATGTCAAAAAACTCCTCCTATAGAAAATAAATAAGTTGGAAAGTATATATAGTACCGGGGTTAAGTTCACAATCATTGCTGAGTATACCGTTAAATTGTGTTGGCTTGGCTGGTTCATTTATGTGGAACCTTGAAATATAATTCTGGCAATCTTGGGGGGTCGAACACCATCCTCCTCCCTAAAATAATTGATTACAATCCTCACTCAACAAACTAATCTATTCAATCTAGTAGAGATCCTATATATAATAAAGTCATATGATCTTGTGCAACATTTAATTTTCACAAGACCATAATAATATTGTTATTGTGAAAATTAAATGTTGATAATCAACATTTAATTTTCACAAAACCATAATAATATTGATAATTATAATAACAAAAATAATAATAATAATTGCAATAATAATAATAATAATAATAATTTTCATGGACAGTTTCTAATATATATATATATATATATATATATATATATATATATATATATATATATATATATATATATATGCAGGTTCAGGTGCGGCAGTGTCTTACGGTGCGACAACACCAATAGTTCACCAAATATGCACCATCAACGTTAGGAAATACACCACACAAAACAGAGTAAATAGAGCCCTGGATCACCAAACACACACCATTAGGTGTGAGTAAAAACACCATACACTGTTCGGAAATACACCATTGGGGGTGGTGAGTTATATGGTGTGTTTTTTTGAGTCTGTGGTGTATTTTGTGATGTTTTATTACATTTCATTGGGGTGTGTTTGTATTACACTGTTGGTGTATTCTGGAATTTGACCGCACCGCCGCACCGTAAGACCCCGTCGCATATGAGCGCTCTTCTATATATATATATATATATATATATATATATATATATATCAGGGTTGTAAAAATCGGTCTAGGCACCCGCCTAGGCGCTAGGCGCCTCTAGACCGTGGCGATTTCCTCCCTAGGCGCCCGCCTAGGTTACCGGCCGCCTAGGCGTCCGCCTAGCGCCTAACTCGGCCGATTTGGCCGCCTAGCGTCTAAGTTAGTCGAGTTAACTCATCCATTTCGGTCGAGTTAACCCGATCGGCTCGGCCTATTTTTTTATTATATATGTGTGTGTGTGCGCGCGCGCGCATACATATATATAATATGACATATATACACTCGAAGACTAGTTTGATACTTTGAATCTTTGGATGATTGAAGTATTTTAGTATTTCATATTTGAGTATTTTTAATTTTTAATATTGTTTTAATGCTTTTTTATAAAACCATTGTTTTGTTGTTATGACTTATGAATTATCATTAATTTATTTATTTGGATGTGTTATTTGATTAAATGTTGAAAACAACCTCATTAAAATTGTCAAACTGCAAGTCTACCACTGTTTTTTTTTGCGCCCGCCTAGCGCCGCCTAGATTCCGCCTAGGCGCTAGGCGTTGTCCGGGCGCCCGACTAGCGCCTAGCGCCTACTGCAACCATGATATATATATATATATATATATATATATATATATATATATATATATATATATATATATAGATATATATATATATACTTTTATTTATTTATATTTCAATTTCTACTGGCAAATTATTGTGAGGAACGATGGTCCACATAATTGTACGGATCATGAATATCAAATACATTTTTAATATATTAAAAATACATTATTTTTATATTGAAAGTACCTTACATACATATATAATGTACCCTTAGTATATTTAAAATATACTTTTTATTGCATGCAACCCCAAAGTTCATAAGTTTGAAATTAATATATGGCATAGCTAGGCGGCCTAATATTTAAGATTGTTGATGTGCATATTGAGGACTACGGAGATAAAGATGCGTTATTCGTGGATTCATCGGATACTATCCAACAACACTCTCCAACTTAATTGACGTGAAGTGGCTTAGTAACATTAAGATTATATTCTCGAATTATTAGTTCTCATCTTTTATTGATTACACACTTAATTCGATAGTATTTGGAAGAAAAAATCAATGTTCGAACTAAGATTGTGATTTTGGTCTTTAAAGGTCAATTGTATGTTGCTACATCTAGAGTTAGAAATCTCAAAGGTCTAAAAATTTTGATCCGTGGTGACTCTAAAAGTGTAATTCAATTACTACTATAGTTTACTAAGTTCTTAAAAATTTGTAATATTAAATACTATGTACTAAATTTTTAATATAGTTTAAGATTTGTATTAATCACTCACCTTAAATATTATTTTAATTGTAAATATATTTATGTTCATAATTTTATCATAGGAATTCACACATAATAATTATTAAATAACATAGGAAGAGGCCAGGTTGGAGGTGTTGCACTTCTTTGATCATGCGCAATTGGAATTGGGAGATGAAAGGTTTGCTGAAAAACAAGATGAATTGGTGCAAAAAGCCAATAGAATCTTCTTGGGAAAGTTGGTACATATACATGAAAAGTTCAGACGTTTGCTTGAGGAGATGGGTAGTCCTATGAGTGTATCAAAATCTGAGAAGAATAGCTCACTTGAAATAAAAAAGAGGAGTGTAGTAAAAGGTGAAGAATCTGTCTTAGCTGAAGCTGGACTGGGGACCACAACTAGCCCTCAGCCAAGCACAGGCCTGATTTTTGAATATGATGATGTTAAATCAGCAGTAAGGGGGTTAATAGATTTTGCTAAGGCTAGAAAGAAGCAAAATGAAGTTGTGAAAATCTGTTGTAGCAGCAACCTAAAGCCTTCTCAGGTGGAGGGCTGTTGTTGCTAAAATTGTGGATTCTGCCATGGAAAATGAAACAACATGACAACTGTGACTGCTGGTTTAAGAGTCTAATCTGAATGCAACTAAAAATGAATGTTTGATGAATCTGAAAATGGAAATTTGCATAAATAAGATCTGAAATGGAGTTGCAGGTGATCTGAATGGTACGGAGATGCAGCCTAAGGTGCTGGTTATGAGGCTATGAGATAATATTGCTGTCGCTTTGCTAAGATAGCTGGAAGTATTCGGGTGGTCTCATGAACATGTAAGAAGGATCTTGGTAAGAAGGAATAAGGAGGGTTCATCTTGATGGGTGGACCCTTGTGCTTGGTTATGACCAAAAGCCGAATGGCCTTGTTGTGCTTATACTTGTAAAGCCTTTTAAAGGCCTTGTAGATTTAGGCTCTTTAGCCTTGTGGTTTTGTAAGGCCATATGGCACTTTGTCATTTAGGCCATCTTTGGCCCTTGTTTTTGTAAGGCTTTGCCTCTTGTAATTTCAAGCCATAGGTCACTTTTGGACCTATGGCGTCTCTTGTAAGGCTTTATGCCCTTTTGGTGTGGAATGTAGTTCTTGATTCTTAAAAAATAATAATAATAAAAAATAAATAAATAAATTTATATATGAATAAACCTCATATAGGGTATATTTTTATAACATATTTTCGTGCATCGCACGGGACAAATACTAGTTAATAACAATAACAACAATTTGAGTTAATTAATTATATTACCGGAAGATAAACTAGCCAATTATTTGCACCTTCGTCTGTCCCAGGGACAAAGTAGTAAGCAGCTTGGTTCCCCGACAAACATACTACATATAGCAAACATAAGCAAAAATATATTACGGATTGGAGTATATATTTTTAATCAATTTAAGTTGATAAAGAAATTAAACATTATTAGTCATATTTGGTAAATGGTTGTTAGCTATTAGCTGATTGGGTTAATCAGAGGGTATAACTAGTTGATAACATTAACTGATTGTATAAAGGTGTTTAGTAAATTAGATGTTAGCTGATAGCTGTTTGTTATAATTTCTTTTCTCAAAAAGCTAATTGAAAAAGCTAGTTTGAACATTTTTTTGAATTATAGCATTTTTGGAGTAACAAAAAGTTAATTAACCAAACACTTATATTAATTTTTAACCAAATCAGACAACTAATAGTGGTTAAATAAGTCAAAATTGACCTATAGGCTAACTATTTAACCAAACAGGGAAATGAATTACCAGCTCCTTCGTGGCTGAGTAGGGTTGGGTTCACCATCATGTCTTGGGCGGTAACCCCTGCAGAAAGAGTAAGTAGTAGGTATAGAAGTGAAATGGCCTTCACTTCAACATCCATGTCGATCTGATAAGAAAATTAAGAAGAGATGTGTGAATAAGTTAAGGGATAGTAGTTAAATTTTTCCCGTCCCAACCCGTCACTATAGCAATACTCTCCCATTCTTCTTATCTCTGGACAACACCCAGACGTTATTACAAATAGAGATTGGTCTACATATATAATAGCTTTAAGGATTTTATTCCTACATTCATAAGAAGGTGGTTGTGTCTCTCGACACTTAGGAATGTATTGTACACCATGAGAAGGTGTTGGTTTTTCATGTGCAGGCAACCAATCTAACGTTGAGATTCAGGTGTTGACCTTTCCTTATCAAGTATAGCATATGAAAGCTCTATAATGCCATATGTTAAGATCAATCCTAATATAAAATTTTGTGTCTTGAAATTCATTGTTTTTGCTTCTAATGCAGTGCTTGCTCGATAAAGAGCATCATATCTTTGTATTAATAGATAAACATTTTGAAAACATTCACCGTACCAATATTTTTATGAGTTACGATCTTAATTAATACTAAAGTATGTAATAAAAGCCAATAAATGCGTTACACATAGAATAATAATAATAATCTTTGACAAATTGTGTATGTACATATAATCAAATGTACGTTTTCCGTTAATTAATTGCTTTTCGCGTTTCGCTCTTCTGTTGAACTATTTTAACCCTACATTTTATAATTGCTCCACGAAAGATCATAAAACCTAATTACTCCTCCATGAAGGGTCGTGGATAACCAAGAAGCTAAGGTACTATTGTTTAATTTGTGTTCTATAATCAAATAACTCTCATTTATTGAATCATTATATAATATTCATTACTCTTAATCAACAGGGTGCAGTGTCATTTATGCACAAATAGTGTCTTTGGAGCTATTCTGTTCATTGCTACTTTCTCAACCTGTTGAGATTAGCACAACAAGTCAATATTTTCCCTACTACGAATCGAATCCCTACCTCCCACTTGAGAGAACTACTTCATGGCACTAGACCACAAAATCATAGGCGATCAGACATGTTAATTGTATTTGGAAAAAGTACGTAGATAAAAGTGTATAAAGTTGCTCACAAATACTACACACATAAAATATACAATCATCATAACATTTAATAGTACTAAAGATGTTAAGAAAAGACGTGTGAATAAGTTAAGGGAGCTAAGATAGGTAGCTTGATTGTAAGAATGAATGCACAACACATAATGATATCCTATATATATATATATAAGGGATGGATGGATATGCATGGATGGGTGGGAGCCCGCCAAGCTGTGATGTATGAGAATTTTAGAGATTTATTTATATATTTGCATCTAAAACTAAATAGATATATACAACCGGGAAAATTGAGTGAATAAAATAACTAATATCCCAAATGCATTTACGGACGACTCTTAGCCAAAATTCATGAATAATCCGATAACATCAAAAAGTTTAAATATTAGGGCGGACAAAATTTAACCCAATAAAAAATAGTCTGATGACTTGAATGGGGTAGCCTGATATATGTAAGCTAATGGGGTAGCCCGATATATGTAAGCTCATATTTAATATTTATTTTTATTAAATTTGTAAACTAAATTAAATTGTATTTATTTATTTCAACATAAAACAATTACTATAATTTTTTTTTGAAGGTTACTGATTCTATTACAATGTAGTTTTGACTTTCTTAAAGGAGTCTTTACTGAGACTTAAACTCACAACCTCCCACATATGAGAGTAATTCGGTGCCACTTGACCACAAGGTCATTGGCACAATTACTATAATTATTATATTATAGTGTAAATATGTTAATTATTTTTAGTTAGAATTTGGACATATCTAGATTTAAATTGATTAATGAATGATTTATAAGTTTATATTTATTAGTGCAAACGCATTAGTTTATTAAAATTGAAAGAATGAAAAGGAAGAAAAAAGGGAAATTAAAGAAAGATTGGTTGGTTTGCTAGTTGCCTCCCCGTTGCTCTGGGCGTGGGTAAGATGGGTTCCCCGATCAAAATGCAGAGTTCTTTAAGGGGGAGCTTTCCATGTCCTTAGGGTGAGGGCCTTGTGTTACTATTGCTGTTGGTTAGGCATTAAAACACCTTTCCTAGTAAAACCGCAGTGATCTGTGCAGGAAGGTGGGCTTAGGCCTTGAGGATAGGCCTCATTGCTTGGGTGTTGGGCACCATGGGTCCCCTTTGATAAAAATGCAGAGATCACGAAGGGGGCTTGCCCGGGGCTCAAAGAATCGTTATGTCATGGAATCGTGTTCACCAATCACCATCCATGGTGAACACGGTCCCAAACGGTAACGGTGCTACGTGCACCGTTATCTTTCACCAATCTTTTCTCTTCATTTTTTTTTTTTTTTTTTAACAGCGCGACTTTTCTTCTTCATATTCACATTTTGCGGGTTCATTTCCTCTTCGCTCAAGTTTCTTCAACACTCATTATGAATGTGCAGACATGGATTTATGAATGTACAGTTATGAAATTATGAATTTTCTTTTATTAGATTATGAATTTTCTGTTATGAAATTATGAATTTTCTACTATGATATTATGAATTTTCTGTTATGAAATTATGAATTTTCTGTTATGATATTATGAATTTTCTGTTATGAGATTATGAATGTACAGAAAATTCATAATTACATAACTGTAAATTCATAATCTCATAACAGAAAATTCATAATTTAATAAATGTAAATTCATAATCTGAACATAGAATGCAAAATGTCGTTAACCGCACATTAATTGAATTTTTTTTTTTTCTGATAAAAACGATGTCGTTTGGGACCGTGAATACGTTTCCACGGCATAATTTGCGGGGCTCAAGGGTGAGGGCATGAGGCTGTGGCATAGGATGTTGTTCATATGGTTTGAAAGGAAATGGATGGGATTATATTGGTGGGCTTGAGGGCATCGGTCCAAAACTGATGTGAGGGCAAATTATGCCCTGAACCTGTGTCCACAATGCATTGTGGACACGGGTCTAAAACGACGTCGTTTTGAAAAAAATGCGTCATTTTAGTTAAATTTTTTTTTTATTTTTTCTCGCCTTTAACGGCGTTATTCGTTTGTGCCATTATGAATGTACTGTTATGACATTATGAATGTAAGTCATAAAATTATAAATATAGAATTCTGACATTATTAACTTACAATTATGAACATATAGTGATAAAATTATGAACATAGAGCTCTAAAATTGTGAACATGGCGCTTCAAAAATTATGATTTTACAATTATTGAATTATGAATGTACAGTTACGAAATTATGAATGTACAGTTATGCAATTATGAATGTACAGTTATGCAATTATGAACACAGAGCTCTGACATTATGAACTTACAATATGAACATATAGCTCTAAAATTATGAACATAGAGTCTAAAATTGTGAACATAGAGCTTTGAAAATTATGAAGTTACAGTTATTGAATTATGAATGTACAGTTACGGAATTATGAATGTACAGTTATGGAAGTATGAATGTACAGTTATTGAATTATGAACATAGAGCTCTGACATTATGAACTTACAATTATGAACATATAGTAATAAAATTATGAACATATACTCCTAGCTATAATGAATCTGAAATTTAAAAAAAAAAAAAGAAAAAAAAAAAGATAAAGATAACAGTGCCGTTTCGGCACTGTTACCCGTGTCCAGCATGCATACTGGACACGGGTCTAGAGCATAACGATTGTGATGTGAGGGACAAGGACCATGCTAATTGAGTTAAAGTGCATGAGTTTTGTGCTTAAGTTTCGTCGGTTTGTGCTTAATGTCAGTAGTTGTTGAAACTTAGGTGCGTGCGTTTCCTTCTTAATGTGCGTTGTTTTCATCTTGAGGTGCGTAATTTGTATGCTTAAGGTACGTCAGTTATGTGAAACTTAAAGTGAACCATTTTTAAAATCTTAGGTGCGTGATTTTTTTTCTTAAGGTGCTTTGTTATGTGCTTAAGGTGTGTGGTTGGTGTTCTTAAGGTGCGTGATTTATGTTCTTAAGGTGTTTTTTTTTTTTTTTGTGCTTAATGTGCGTGTGTTGTGTACTTAAAGTCCGTCAGTTTAATGCTTAATGTGCGTCCAACCACACGGGAAGCTCTCGCATCTGATCCCTTCCCTATATATAATACTCTATGTTAGAAGATATATATTGGTGAGTCTCATGTGAAACCGTGTGTGTGTGTGTATATATATATATATATATATATATATATATATATATATATATGTATGGTATGTATGTGCAGTGTGTGTGTAAAAACTATTATAGCTTACCATGGCTGCATTTTTATTTTTTTTGTGCAACAGAACCTTTTATTAACCGCTAATAGCCCGGTGGAAAGCAAAGCCTCTGAGGTCATACAATAGAGCCAATTTGGCTTTTAGTCTTTTACAGACAACGAATTTAAAGAACAAAAAATCTTGGAAGAGCTAGCGTTCAGACCCTACGTCGCAAGAGCATCCGCAACCTGATTAGCCTCCCGGTAGGCATGCCGTATTGAGGATCCCCACACTGAGAAGCTGGAGATGACAGCTTCCCTTATCCTCCACAGGGTCGTGACAGCCCGAGAGGACACAAACCGAGCAAGAGCGAGAGAATCCACTTCAACAACTAAAGGCCGCATAACAGACATCCACTACTGGAAATTATGAAATTTTCGACCACTTGAAATTGATCTTAAATCAAGTCGAAAGCCTTGTTCCGACCACTTTTGGTATCTGGAAAAACCCTTGTTGCTATTTCCGATCACTTTTTTTCTTTCAACTTGATTTAAGATCACTTTCAGGTGATCGAAAATTTCAGAATTTCCAGTAGTGATCCAGGCGATAACATAATCCCACAACAACCTGACTACGCGATTCCCTGAAACAAGCCCCACCCGCTGCGCCATTTGCTGAGTAGAAAGCATCCGTGTTTAGTTTTGGCGCCTTTAGCAAATTGGGTCCAAGTGAGATCAGGCAATGAAGGAAAATAGTATATGTACTTACATTTTCTACTTTAATTTTTACTTCCATACTTAAAATTTTGATGTAGATACATTTTCAGGGGCTCACTGAAGAAAATAGTCTATTAATGTCTGACACATGAGAGAATAAATTTGAGAGAGTAAGATTTGAGAATACATGTTGTAAACTCGACAATTAATAAGTTGAGCAACAAAAAAACAATGCATTATTAGTAGAAAAAAATAGTATTTTAAATTAAATAAACGCAATCTTCTAACTTTTTTTTTTTTTGAAGGTCAACCAATGTGGTTGTATTTATAGAAAAGCTGAAATAGAGTCAGGTGGGACAACGTTCCAATACATAGCCGTAGTAAGTTCAAAAGCTGTAGAGGCTAAAGTGTGCACTAATAGATTCTATAATCTAGGTATAAATAAAATTGAGTAGAAATTAAAAGTAGAGATGCAAGCTCTGCAACCATCAATAGCATAACCGATATATGATCGAGACGGGTGTCTGGTGCGGATAGGTAACACTGTAACGTCTGACAATCCGTGTAAAGCTGTATAGACTATTCTCCACGATCTCTTAACTATGACAAGACCTCCTTGCATGCAAATGCCTCCGTACTATATATTTAACTATTCGCAATTTATCATTCACTATTACTCCGTACTATTTAACTATTTTGCTATTCAACAAACATTCTATTATGCCATGCACTATACTTCCAATCTATCACTTAGAAGAATTAATGGTAGGTTTGTTTACTAAGAATACATGATCCAACACTGACAATCGCAGTACAGTGTAGGTGTTACATCTAATGAAGGTGGCTCCTTATGAGCACCAAACATTGGTCCTTTCAAGTCTCATCTAATGAGACACTGAGTTGTCGTGATTTACTCATTCATTATCCTATTGAGCCGAGGTGTGGAGTCAGGGATAAGAAAGTTTCGTGTTTTGTGAACAATGATAGGCTTGTGTATGCCACATCAAATGGCCCGGGATTCACTAATTTATCTTTAACGAACGTACCTAAGTTATTTATTGTTTATTACATATAATAAATATTTCATTTAATTTATAGTTAACATACGTAGGTTATTTGTTAGGTTTAATTTATTACCTATTTTTAATGATAAATTGTAACTCATAAACTTATTGAAGCCACGCATACATGAATTTCAAATGCTTATTAATAAGATTGTGTTGTTCTTATTGAGAAAAACAAATACGACGGCCCCGTACAAACAAAAAGCAAAGAGATCAAACAGTGAAAAAACAAATAGATTAAAAAAATGGTGACTTTCAAGGTACATTTTTTATTAAGTTTGTTCCTGACTTATAATACAACTAGTAGTTGCACCCGTGCGTTGCACGGCAATATGTATAAATATTATAATATATAGTATAATTGTAAAAAAAAAATGGATAGTCAACTATTTAAAATTGATTAAATATTATTGAATACTTCTTTGTATACGACATTTGTAGTCGTATTTTGAGATTTTACATTTTCATTACAAATAAGAATTTTTAATCTCTTATGATTACTAACTTTTCACTGCTGCATACATTTGACCATGATTGAAAATTAGCCTCTTCAAAAATAAATCCACGTTGGATAGTGTCAGACCCTGGCTTTTATTTATTGTCATTGCATATAAGTGGAAATTGTTTTCTTTGGAACTTAAAAGACAATCTTGGATCAGAAGGTGTTAAGGTCATCATTGGAATTAAGACCTTTGTACCAGCACTTGACCCGCACAATATTTGAGCTTCTAAAACATGATCAGCCAACTTTGAAATCATCATGTATTACAAATGTATTATAAGATGGTAGGTCCACACATCATTGTGGACCTTGATGCACACAATGATTTGCACAGTTTCACAGTACATCTTTAGTAATATTATTAAGGAATAAGGGTCAAATAGGCCATCGAACTGCACACAATAATGCAATTAGGCCACTGAACTTAAAAAAACAACAATTGGGTCCCTAAACCTACCAATTTCATGCAATTAAGTCAATTTACAGGTTTTGTAGGTTAGTAACAGGTCACTCAAAATTTAAAATATTTTTTTTAAAACTTTTTTTTTTAAAAACTCCACTATCCATCAACTTCTATGTTTGCAATCCGAATTGCAACTTCATCCCAGGATGTACTGGATTGCGATTGAGGAGAGATGCTCTCCAATCTCCTATTCTGAGCAACTGTCTTCGCTTTAGACAGAGTAATTTGCGATTGCAGTTCGCGATCAACAATTTCTAGATCAATTGGGCGAACCATTGTCGATCGCATTTTGCGATCGATCACCACCTCCGACCTTTCAGTGTTTAAAATCAATCGAACGGACAGTCGATTGACTTGCGATTGGAGATCGCACAATTCCTCGGATTGGAGACTACTTTTGACGATCTTCAATCGCCATAGCAATTAAATCTTCTTGCGTATTGCAATCCGATCCAATTGGGCGGACTTATGCGACCTTGTAAGGAGACAGAAATTCTAGACGAATTTCCTTGATTTTCAACAATTGGAGACTCCGTCTCCTTCAATTCCAGATGAGAGTCATCTAGATTAGCACCTTTCTTCCCTGCTTTTAGTGGACCGGATTTCCCAGCAATCGGGCTAGTAAAATTTAAAAAAAAAAAAAAGAAAAAGATTCCCCGTCTCTACCGGAGACGAGTTTCTTCGTCTCCATGGCCGGAGACGAAGAAACTCTCCGTCTCCGTCTCCGGCCATGGAGACTGAAACAGTTTTTTTTTTTAATTATTATTTTTAAATAATAATTTTTAAAAAAAATGTTTTAAATTTTGGGTGACCTGTTACTAACCTGCAAAACCTGTAAATTCGACCAATTGAATGAAATTGGTTAGTTTAAGGACCTAATTGTTGTTTTTTTAAGTTCAGTGGCCTAATTGCATTATTGTGTGCAGTTCGATGGCCTATTTGACCCTTATTCCTATTATTAATTAGTATATGTTTTATATATGAAGCATATTATACAATGATATATAATAATTCAATAATTGTATAATCTAATAATATCATATTATATTTTTTGAAAGCCAAGGAAATCAGATTGCATTAAACTGTAAACGAAACAAAGGAAGGAAGATAGTCCCTCCAGACAGAATGAGAGTCAATCGCACTAATATGCTTTGCTAAGGCATGAGCTACCGTATTGGCAATAACCCCAATATATATAAAACTTATATATTTTAATTCCTATGTATGTTTAGCCCAAACTATGGTCTAAAAATAAAGTCCAAACCCGACCCAACTCAGCAAAACAAATAAAAAAAACGCGTAGAAGTGCAAAATATCAGCTCACCGTCGATTCATCTTCTCTCTACATCCGCCCCTTTTCTCTCTGGCTATGTCCGATTCGAAATCTCTACTTTCTTATGTTCTTAGTCTACTTTCCATTTTTATCATGTAGTATCTTCCATCAAAGTCCAGTGTACACCAAATTTGACCATGTTTACAGTAGTTGTTGTTGTGTAAATTATAAGTGTAAATTAGTGATTTAGGGTTTATGTGTTCTTCGTCTGGTACTGTCACAACACATCTGGAGCCTATACAACTAAGCTAAGGTATCTTCGTCCTAATGTTAGGACGATGATATTATTGTTAAGAGTCGCCGAAATCAGACGAATGATGTCGACTAAGCTAAGTATTCGATCCGTAATTGTATACGTCGAATACCCTGCATAATTAGTGTTTAATTTCATTCGCTATCTACAATTAAGTGTAAGATTACACTATATGATGCAAGATTTCTATCACGGCATATCAGGACAAAACCTTCGAGTTCAGAATGGTGAATTGGAGTGACTCTTATCTGTTTTTTACATCACGGTATATCAGGACAAAACGACTATTTTACACATCATACTTCTAACATTTTTTACTCCTTCCATTTCAGTGTTCTGACAGGGACCTTGTGGGGGATGGTGCGATTCAGGGAGATTGATTGTGGCCGATGTTTGCAGGAAGAACAAATCACACGCGGAAATTTTAGATTCATCTAATGGTCCTAATATAAATGCACTCTTGATATCTTAATGGATCTTCATTTCGATTCTTCACTTCACATCCAAAGATATCTCAGATCTTTGCAACATTATCAAGAACAATCATCACTCATCATCCCTCCGGTTTTTCTATCAGCACCGCAATGATAGGTGCATAATTGGAAGCAACAAAACCCTTCTTCAGCCCTCAACTGGTGCAGCATGTCAGCATGCAAGGTGAGCCACTGAGTGCCCATAGTTTTTTGTATGCAGTCAGTACACACTCTCATTCAATTGAAGTGAAAAGACTTTCTTGTCCTCCTTGTGGTGCTGCTAGTGTTCCATTAGGCTAAATTATAGGAACTTTAACTAAAGGCTGTACTAAAAAATCTAATACAAACTCTGATGGTCAGATTTCCATATTCTAGGAAATTCATGGCTTTTTTGAAGCAGCTGTCAAACTTTGTGGAATGCTGTGAAAAATAGCTTTGTGAATATATATGTTATTGGATTTTTAGTCAATAATTTCCAAATAGATAACAGATTGCAGCATTATAATTGACAAAACCAATACAAAGTTAATTACTAAAAAGGACTAAAACTACATCATAAGTCAGCCAATAATTCAAATTCTTTTTTCATCAATGCCTGGTTCTCCACTTGATTCTTCATGTGTTCATGTTTTGTTTATATCTAACTTCATACACACCGCATCCTGCATCAATTCTGATTTGTAAGTGATAGAAAACCACAGTATAATACAAACACTTAGGTAAATTATGGATCAACAAACTAAGCATGAATGTAACATTAACTTAAAGCGAAAGAAAAAAAAAAGAAAAATTAGGAATTAAAGTAGATAACTGATAATATCATAAACACAGTCCTGAAAATTGATAGCATTGTTTGAAGTACTACAAATTAAATAGGTCCAAAACGACATCAAAACAACACTGCAGATAATGAAGTTTGTCCATCACACACAAACCAAGCTTTATTTGTTTGTGGTGACTGGACTATCTACTTAATCACCTTGGGAGCCTTCCGAAAACTAAAGAAATTAAGACTATACTGTTTTGAAAGTATGTTGCGCATATGGCTCTCGCCTTTAATTTTTGTGAAATGTATGTCAGCATGATGCTTTAGACCTTCCAACAACTACTCAATATATGTATATGGCAACATAAGGATTTGGTTTAAAATATGTATATGGCAGCATGATGACTTACAGCTTAGAACATCTATTCAACATATGCTGCCTTTTGTACTTGGAAGGTATGCTTAATTTAGTTCGTTGCATTCTGCAAGGTTGAATCCCCTTTATTTGCTAATTTTATTTAAGAAACTCCGTTAGAAATATATGGTAGAAAAATTAAGCCATTAGTGGGTTATGAAAATTGGCTTCAGAAGATAAAGAACCACCACTAAGGATGCATACTACCAATAAATGTATATCTTTATTAGTTATTTGCATTGGAAAATGGAAAATAGCTGCAACAATGATATGTATACACTATGTCAAGTGTCGACTTATTGGTCAACATGATTTATCTGTCAAGTGCATACATATAATGTTTATCAATTTTATTTTAATAGTTTTTGCTTTATCGTAATAGAATAAATTATTTAAAGGACTATTTTTCCAGGTATGTGATTCAATATTAGAATATTTAAAGTGTACTTAATCAGTTTAATTATAGATAAACATAACTGAGTACTTAAATTTTGGGTACTCCTTTAACATAGATATCAATTCTGTTTTCTCTGTAATACATCCAAAATTTGATGTTGTACATTTCTTCAGACCTAGGTATATCACTTTATTTAAGAACAAACACTGAGATGATATGAACAGACAGTACCTTATTTTAATGTTTATCAATTTTAATTCCAAAAATAAAGACTATTTTTCCAGATACGTGATTCAATATCAGAATATTTAAAGTGTGCTTAATTAGTTTAATTATAGATAAACATTAATAGATTTTACTTAACTGAGTTCTTAAATTTTGTGTACTCCTTTACATGAATATCAGTTCTGTTTTCTTTGTAATACATCTAAAACTTGATGTGGTACATTTCTTCAGACCTAGGTATATCACTTTCTTTAAGAACAAACACTGAGAAGATATGAACAGATGGTACCTTTGTTATGCACTCATCCCCAGGATGTTTCCTCTTCCTTCCCATCACTGCTAAGCATGTTAGTTTTTCCATCCCTTCTCTATTCTGTTGTTTCCCAAAGCATATCATCTTGGATACTAACAGTTTTCTACACATTTAATATTGCCCTGCATTGATTATTAGAGCTTATTATCATATTGTCCTAAAATATGATTACTTCACAGCACACTACATGACAGTACATTATATTTTAAAGGATAGAAACATAAATCAAGATAAAGAAACAGAGGAGTGTTTCTCAACATATGGGTTATAGGACTGATTATTTAAAGGATAGAAATAGTAATATGATTAATGAAAAAGTCCTATTTTATAGATATAGATCTTACTGAAAATTTCAGATAGGATGCATGTTCTCTTGGTACTTCATTTTTTTACCACTAAATTGCAGCCAATAGGATCATGCATTGTACAACCATCTTCTTTTTACTGCCATGTTAAGAAAAAATGCAATGTGGACAGTGATATACATAAAAAAAAAAAAAAAGATTTTTAATCAACAATCTGGTAGATGCAAATACCTCTTGATCATGGGAGAAGAACTCATTGCACTTGATTGTAGAAGAGTCTTTTCTTTCTAGGATTTTATATGATTGTGCTATGCACCACCATAACTTTGATTGTGCTTCTTGTTTTGAAAGGTGATACATCACGGCCAAACATGTATATAGAAGCCATGAAAGTTCAAAGATGTATAATGGAAGTAGCATTCTTATTAGCTTTCGTTGTAATGTTTGCATTCGAATAGAAGTCTTATATAGCCATTGGTTTACGCTGGCCATGTATCTATAACAGAGCAATACACTTCCCGGAGATTTTAATGTGAAGTCCATAAGTCGGATTTAAAATTGAAAATTGAAAATCCATTGGAAAAGCAATATTTCACGCGTTCCCAATATAATATTCCCGGAGTTATTTCGGCTAAGCCTCCTCAGGATCTGCAACCGAGTGTGAATAGCATTTAATACGACTGCAATTGTTTAATGGCTTTAAACGCTGCCGTTTTGTGTGGGCGGGAGAAATTTTTAGGCAGAAACTTAGTGCTTTATTATAATGATAGATAAGGTTTTCGTATGCTAACGAAAGTGAAAGGCAAGCACGTATTGACTCACAAATATGTCCAAACTTTCATCGACCTTCTGAGCAGTGTAGAATAGGAATGCTTACATATCTAATGTATGATGGAGGACCAAAAGAGATAGCAGATGTCACGCCCGATTGTTGTTCAGAAATAAGTAGATTGGGACATGATTGCTTCTTTCGTTGGGTGGCATATGAAGCAAATTTGTATGATTCAAACAACTCACTCAGTGAGGAATCTTACTATTTTGGAGAATTTTTATGGAAAAACAAGTGTGAATTATAAATATTCATCAATTAGACTCAATATTCTGGTATGATTGAATTAACAACAAATAAATAAAAATAGCTTTAATTCTTCCAAAAGGTTGAACCCCAACCCTAAGATAAAAAATTAAAAAAAAAATAGCTTTAATGATTGACATGATAGTATTCATTTCTAATTTGTTTAAATTCTTTTATTTTGTTACTTATTATTAATCGTTTTGTTTCTCAATTCTTCTTATTTCTATACTTGATAATTGATTTATTGTTTTAAGTACTACTATAATCATGAATGTGGACAAGTAGTTTGTGATCCACTGGTATCCAATTGTTCCTTTATGTTGGAGGTCTAAGGTTCAAGTCTTACTGTAGGCGTAGGTTGTATATGTAGAAAAATAAATGCGGACAAAAGACCAATTAAAAAAGAAACATAATATAAATAGATTCCTACGGAGAATATTTGTTAATTTCAATAAATGATATATATAAAAGACAAATTAAAATTAAAACCTCAATAAAATCAATTCCGACGTGATGAAGAAAATGGGGATTTTAATATATTCTTGTACATTTTGTGCGAAAAAGCACTGCAAAACCCAAAAAACATAAGTTATAACTTCTAAGCAATTATATAGATATAATCAATTTATCATATAATAATGTGTATAATAGACTCTGGTTTGTGATATAATTTGCAACTTAATTACCATTGCAGGAGGGAATTTGGAGGTGCAAGATTTGGGCAACATCTTGGTTGGTCTCTGATCCACACAAACACACCCGTTAATTAATAACAATAATTTAACTTAAATACTATATTAAAGAGTGTGTAAGGCTATACATGTAAATTCACAACTCCCTCGAAAATGGATACAAACAAACTTCTGCTCCCAAAGTTGTGCTTTTTTTTTCTGGGCACAAATTTTACAATCATAACAAAACTTAGATCGGTAAATAAAATGATAAATTTAAAATAAATTAATTTAGAATAATATAAAAGTAAAAATGAAACTTACGCAGCAAAAAATATCAACCATCTGAAAGACATTTGACATGGGCGGAGCTTGGAAGTTTTTGTCGGAATCTGTCACAGTGCAACATGGCAGCCACACACCCCCCCCCCCCCCCCCCCTGATTCCCCAACTAAAAAAGCCTAGAATTTTATAAACATAACAAACCGATAAGGGTAACATAGTTAAGAACGTGTTTCCTTAATCTAAAAATAATAAAAATAGTTAAGTAAAGAACTGTAGTACGTGTAATTAAATTATCAAAAAATTTCTGTGAGAATCTGCCATAGTGCAACATGAAAAAAATTATGTCTGTATATTTAGTGATAGATTAAAAAACTATCGCTAAAATGTAAAAATCAATTCCGCTTGTAAAATTAGTGAAAGATTTAAGAATTCCTCTCTCTATATAGCAACGAGTGCACAAATCAATCGCTAAAATGTTTAAAATAAAACCAACTTTGTAATTTTAACGAAGAATTTGAGAATCAATAACTAAAATGTTAAAAACCCCGCTTTATAAATTTAGCGATGGATTTGAAAATTCATCGCTAAAATGTAAAAATAATAATTCTTGCCTTGAATATTTAACGAACTCAGCTGAAATCTGTCGCTAATCAAAAACAATTAAAATTATGGGGTCAGCCTGCAAAAAATTGTCTTTGATTAGTATTACATTTGTCCGTATAAATATTACATTTTTATATTGATACAACTCAATCGATCCGAACCTTCTCAAAGATAAGAATTCGTGAGGCGGTCTCACTTGTGTGTAACCCTAAAAAAATGCATGTAATCTTTGACAATTTTTGTCCGAACATAAACTACATATTATGAAGTGACCCACGAGACGTGAAAGAGACGTCAAAGATCTTTGAGATGTGAATTAATTGCTTTTTTTTTTTCTTTTTTTTCTTTTTTTCTTTTTTTGGGTTCTCAATTGTGCTGTCAAAATGTACAAATTATCAAGTGTGCACGAGACGTTATGTCTGAACGGATGTGTCACAAACTTCAGTTTCTCTATTTTGATTTGGTTAGGGGCTAAATTGTATTTGCTACTATACGATTCGTTTTTATATGTATCACCGAATAATTTACTGAGTACAATTAATTGTAACGATATCTTAATTATTGATTGTATTTAGATGCATATGTCCGAAGTCCGAACTACTAGATCGGCTGGTTATTTGATCATCTTGAGTCATATGCCTTATTAATAACTCGGACGAGCTCCTAGCTCGACTTGTCGCAACTTGCAAGACAGATGCCTTATTAATAACTTTTGTGAAGCTCTGAGTTCGACTTGTCGAGCTGAGTGTAAGACACTAAGACCGCAAATTATGTTGTACATGGTGCACACGGTTGCAAAATCGACGTCGTTTTGACTAAAAACGCGCGTCCCACTAAAAAAAAAAAAAAAATCAGGTCCGATTCCGGGCAATAGCATTTTTATGCATAATTTAAATTATATATCCACAAATGTATAACTACATATCTACAGTGAATGAATAACACAAAATTCAGAATGAATGAACTAAATATCCACAATGAATGAACAACATAATGATGTTGAAGGAAATCGAAACTGAATTTTTTTTTTTGAATGGGACGCGTGTTTTTAGTCAAAACGACGTCGTTTTGCAATCGTGTGCATCATGCATGGTGCATGCGGTTGCACATCATAACTATTGCACTAAGACCTAGTAGCAAATTGGGTCCAAGTGACATCAGGCAATGAAGGAAAATACTATATGTACTCACATTTTCTATTCTAACTTTTACTTCCACACTTAAAATTTTGATTTAGATACATTTACAGGGACCCACATGAAGAAAATAGTCTATTAGGGCATTCTCAGTAGTTGGGGGTTTTTCTCCATTTTTTGTGGACCCCAACATCTAGATCATCATCCACTATCTCACTCAATCATAAAAATTATTCTTCCCATTAGTTTTAAGTTTTTTCACAACTTTTTGTAGACCCACCATTTTATCTCCATAATTTAATTATTTCTTTATTTATTTGATTTATAAATTTATAATTTTAAAATAAACATAAATGAATGAACATACGTAAATATGGAGATAGTGTTATGAATGAACATACGTTAATATGAATATACGTTAATATGTACATATAACATATCTAAAGATATAAATTTAATTTAAATAATAAACATAAATTTAATAACAATAATTTAACTTTTTAAAAACAAGAATTTTAAAATAAATTGAAAAAAAAAAAAAAAAGTCTTCAATTGAGTGGACCTGCTTTTCTATATATTTTTCTTTATTTTTTTTAAACAAAAAATTCTGACAAAACCTTGGAGCGTTGGAGGAGAAATATTTCTCCAAAAAGCAACACCCCTATTTGTTAAAAACTCATTAGGCAAAATTTTACTATTCTAAAAGTTAGGTAAAATCTCCTTTGAGGATGCTCTTAATATCCGACATATCAGAGAATAAATTTGAGAGAGTAAGATTTGGGAGTACATGTGGTAGAACTTGACAATGAATAGGTTGAGCAACAAAAAAACAAAGCATTATTAGTAGGAAAAATAGTATTTTTTAAAAATTAAATAAACGTAAGCTTACAAAGAATACACGATCCAACAGTGACAATCGCAGTGTAGATATTACATCTAATGTAATTGACTCCTTGTGAGCACCAAACATTTGGTCCTCTAAAATTTCACCTAATGGGACGTTGAACTGTCATGATTTACGCATTCATTATTCTATTGGACAGAGGTGTGAAGTCAAGGGATAAAAAAATTTCGTCTTTCGTGAACAATGATGGGCTTGTGTATACCATGGACATCAAATGGCCAGGGATTCACTAATTTATCTTTAAGGTACTTAAGTTATTTACTGTTAATCTATACTTTATATAAAAACAAAATCCTGAAATTTTAACCTCCCGCCCAAATCCTAAAAAATCTCTTTTCCCAATAAAATATATTGATTTCTACTTTCCCATTCGTACAATAATTCTGGGTAAAAATTCTATTCTAAAATTATAAAATAGTGTAATACAATTCTCTTTGCACATCTAATCTAATCTATATCTATACTATATATAAAAACAAAATCCTGAAATTTTAACTTCCCGCCCAAATCCTAAAAAATCTCTCTTCCCAATAAAATATATTGATTTCTACTTTCCCATTCGTACAATAATTCTGGATAAAAATTCTATTCTAAAATTATAAAATAGTGTAATACAATTCTCTTTGCACATCTAATCTAATCCATAATATATATAAAAACAAAATCCTGAAATTTTAACTTCCCGCCCAATTCCCAAAAAATCTTTCTTCCCAATAAAATATATTGATTTCTACTTTCCCATTCGTACAAAAATTATGGGTAAAAGCTGTGAAGTGTCAAAAGTTCGGCAATGCATAACTTTTGACTCGGTTGTCCGTTTTGGACAAATGTTTTTTTGAAATTGTGTATTTTTTCGAGATATATCCACCGCAAACTGTCGTAGGCGGTTTGGCCCACCAATTTCTAAAAAAAATTCTTTATTAAATAGTTTCTAAGAAAAAACTATGAGAACATTATGTTTTATTAATGAATTTTTAAATCTATATTATATATAAAAACAAAATCCTGAAATTTTAACTTCCCGCCCAAATCCTAAAAAATCTCTCTTCCCAATAAAATATATTGATTTCTACTTTCCCATTCGTACAATAATTCTGGGTAAAAATTCTATTCTAAAATTATAAAATAGTGTAATACAATTCTCTTTGCACATCTAATCTAATCTATACTATATATAAAAACAAAATCCTGAAATTTTAACTTTCCGCCCAAATCCTAAAAAATCTCTCTTCCCAATAAAATATATTGATTTCTACTTTCCCATTCGTACAATAATTCTGGGTAAAAATTCTATTCTAAAATTATAAAATAGTGTAATACAATTCTCTTTGCACATCTAATCTAATCCATACTATATATAAAAACAAAATTCTGAAATTTTAACTTCCCGCCCAATTCCTAAAAAATCTCTCTTCCCAATAAAATATATTGATTTCTACAATAATTCTGGGTTAAAATTTTATTGTAATATTATAAAATTTATTCTAATCTATATCTATTATATATATCAGTGTTGCAAAAATCGTGCCGCTGGCCGCGGCGAGGAAGGCCGAAATCGGCCTCCTCAGCGGCCGCCTCGCCAGCTGAACCGGCCTTTAATTTTTTATATATTTTTTTAAGTTGTAAAGTGTCAAAAGTTCGACAAGGCATAACTTTTGACTCCGTTGTCCGTTTTGGACAAATGTTTTTTTAAAATCGCGTATTTTTTCGAGATCTATCCACCGCAAACTGCCATAGGCGTTTGGCCCACCAATTTCTAAAAAAAAAATACTTTATTAAAGAGTTTCTAATAAAAAACTATGAGAACCTTATGTTTTATTAATGAATTTTTAAAATTTTTAATTAAACAATTGTCCCGTGCATTATTTAATAATCTTTCTTTATAATTGGTCAAATTATTTAATTATGGTAAATTTGGAAATAATTAATGATGGTAATAGAAATCCTAGAAGAATAGAGAATTGAACAATATTTAATTATTGTTATATTATTATTGTGACTCACGGAATACAAGAGTTAATGCCATTTTTGGTCCTAGACTTATTGGGGCATTGACACTTTTCATCCTCCATAATAAAAATTGCCACTTAGTAGCCACTGTTATTGATCGTTGGACAGTTTTGATCCTCCGTCAATGATGCCGTTTGTTGACCGTGAATTAGAAGGGTTTTTCTGTCTTTTTATGTTCTAATCCTTGTATTTCTCCATCCATTGGTCACTGCTACATCCATTTCTTCAAACTGAGGTTATCC